GTTAATTTGTTTTTAGTCAAGTAGATAATTGTCTTAAATTTTATGTATATCCGCGCAACCCCACACCGGTTGCTATTTCTACTAATGAATAAATATTTCATAGTAGTCTTACTAGACCGTACATCTTATTTGGTATATGCAAATAATAGCTACGTACTCCGTCATGTTTTTAGAATTCAGCAGCTGCTGTTTCTACTAGCTTCATTATTGGTAATGATTTTGATTTTGTACTTTTACGTGCGAGTTATCGTTAGAAAATGAATGCTTAGCTGTTTAATAGTGTTTGGCTAAGCTTATAAGCTGGTCAAACTGGCTTATAAGTATTTTTTGACGTATTTATGCGTTTGGTAAATATCCAAAGTACTTATAAGCCAAGTGTTTATAAGCTAAAATCAGTCATAAGTCATAAGTTGGTCACCCCAAACTTATGGCTTTTTAGCTTATAAGCATGTTTAGTTTGACCAAGGTTTTTACTAGTTTATCCTTAATAATATTTTCTAATTCACAAAATATTTTTTCCAAAATAAGTTTTCTAACTTTCTTTTCATTCCATATCCGTTGTTAATCTTTTTCTATACAAAATAAACTTTTTAATTTATAATCCTTTGCAAAGTTTTTAAGGATATTTTAGTCATTTTAATAAATTATTTATCAGTTTTTTTCTACCAAACACATCAACTATTTATTATCAGTTTTAACACGTCTATCCATACATGTAAATACTTATTTAAAAAATCAGTTTCAGTACTTCAAACTTATCAATTAGTTACAATCAGCTAATCCAAATGGGCTCTAATTTGCACTCTACGTTTGAAACTCTTGAGTATCCCTAGGATGCAATATGTAGTTTGTATTATACTACTTAAGTATTTATGAAATATTTTCTTGGCGAAATATATAAATGACCACTTTAAGTTGTCCTCAACGATCAAAAAGACATCTCAACTGATTCATTTACCATTTTGACACTTCCAAGTGTCTATTAAATGAGTCTTGTAAACACGTTGCGCTAACATGACAAATCAATTGTGTCTTAAAAATTGAGCGTGTGAGGACTTCAATTACATTTTTTTCTTTTTCTTTTCAGTTTAAATTATTTAATGTGTGGCCCACACAACATTTTCTTATTTTTTTCTTCCAAATTAGTTCCACCTTCGCCCTCCC